AGCCAGAAAAATCCATTCCGGAGGCAAACCCCGGGGGGGGGGGGCATTTTTTGAAAGTTGGTTCCCAACCCAGAAAACCCCACCCCGGAGGGCAAACCCGGGGGGGGGGGGGGGGGGGAGGAATAGGTTACACGGTGTGTGAATAAGATTGCAGCTACCTGTTAAAACACGGTGTCGCCGCACTTGAGAATTATGGTGATGGTGATGGTGCCGGGATGTAGTAGCTTCTTTTTTTGAGGTCCTGCCAGGGGTTGCAAACCAGCTTTCCGTTCTTCACGGATGGTGATTTTGGTGGAGACGCTTTGCCCCCGAGCATATGGTGTAAGTAAAAAAGAAACCTCAAACCAGACTGTGGTGCATTAATTCGGGGCGTTCGCGGAGATCGGCTCGTGTTTAATGCACGGACTCCGTTTATTGGCCTATCGCACGAAAATGATAGGGTCCCGGCGACCTGTTTAGAGAGTGTGAGGCCGTGCTCGTCTCGGGCCTGCCTGGACCACACTACATTACATAACGCCCACTGAGGTTAAAACCACCACCTACGTGCAGGCGACGACAAGTAGACAAACCAACCGTGCAGAAGACCAGTTAGTGGTGATTGCTCGTTCGCTTGGATTTTCTGAGGAAAGCGGACCGAAAGGAATAATCCCCAAAGCCCAGACCACGAGGAGTGTTGTTGCGCTTACCACTTGATGCTCACGAAGACCGGCACATGCCATCTCGGTTGGTTCCTTCTAGGGTGTTGCGAGAGGTGCACGGCGATAATGTCAGTTCCTGTACGGCCCCATGGTTGCTGTAGGCATGTGGGACTGTTTATCTCTACGTGGCAGACTCCCTCGCTGTCTACGTGGCCCCAGAAACAATCGCGCGCGAACGCAAACGCGAACGCATGCTTAGCCTCCCCCACGACGCCCCCCTCTCACGGGGTCCCAGACCGTCGCCTTCAGAAGCATTTTGTGTTTTCAACCGCACTGAGACTGCCGTACTTTCGTATTTTCATCGGTCAGCCGGTTAGCCCGGACGACGCTATTGAAATAATAAAAAAAACACACACATGCACTCGGCGGCACTTCTTGGTTCTTCCGGCCTATTGTCATCTCTCCTGCTCCCAATGAGCGGAGAACGCCGACACGTACGCGGGAACATCGGCCGGTCTATCCCGCAACAAGTCTCGCCGCAGGGTGGAAATGAACGGGTCTACGTGCGTCGCCGCCCAGTTGTTTGCGTCGCTAGTTTCTGCCGTACTACCCCCCCCTCCGTCGTCGTCAGGTGTTGTGCTGGGGTGCCTGGAGTCTGGTGCTGTTGAGGGTCGCGCCGGTTTCTGCTCGGACAAAAGCAAAATAAAAAGTTGGTAGAAAATCAGGAGAGAGAATGTCGCAGTCGGTAACCGTGTCGAATAGCAAGACGAGAGAGAGGAGTAAACATAGCAGCACGGATGCCCATAATGGTATTGGTTTTGGTTCCGACGTCTCATCATGCGTAGGCGTGGCTTTCAGCGCTTTGTATGTTTTGCCGGTCGCCCCGGTGGTCTAGTTGGTATCCTCGAAACCTTCTAGCGGTCAGGTCAGGGGTTCGAATCCCGGCGTAGGCGAGCTTTTCCTGCAAAGTGAGTTTTTCTCTCGCTTCCGCTCCTGGCCTAGTGGATAGCGCTAGGTCGTGTGTACACAGAGGGAAGAGAGCGCTGAACTCTTCTCGCATTAAAAATCGAAGACAACGTACCGCAGGAGGGGAGGGTAGAGAGGGGCTGTTCTGTGTGACCACGGGTTGGAGTAAACGGCACTAGTGCTGTGAGCGCTGATTTGAAGTGAAGACAAAAAGAAAATGTCTGGGAGTGGCATTCACCAAAAGGCCATAATTCTTGCACCTTGAGTCCGATCTACGCAGACAGCCAGCAGCCTGTGTTGTTTCGCTGCATCCTTCCTTGCCCTCTAGACTGACCTGGCCCAAAGGGGGCGGCGCATGGCGATGATCATCGCCATTGGTGGCACTGCTGTGCAACAGATCTCCGTTGGCTCTCGCTCTTTGACCATCGAACGAACGGTGATCAAGTTTCGCGACACGATATCGAACGTCAGGGTCTCCAACAGGCCCTCCCTCTTCCTCGAGTCGAGACCCGTCCGCCTCTTCTAACCCCCCATCTCCTGATCATCGTGGTTCAAAATGTTTGGAACATGAAGGGGCGGCAGATATACTCGTTTCGCGCGTGGTTTTCTCTTGCAGCTGGCGTACCGTAAGGAAAATCTCAGGGAAAAAATGTAGCCGTTCTTTGGGAGCACGTGATTGTTTTACGAAGGGGGGTGTGTCAAGGTGTACCGATGTTTTTAGGTCAGCCGTCAAACGAAGGACCCGATTACCAAGGTGTACCCGCCGTTGGCTTTTGCCGTGGAGTCCGTGTGTACGTTTACACAGGAGGCATCACGTACGCACACACCTCCGCGCTCGCTGTCGGAACCCACATGTCCCAGATCAAAAACGACCGGAGCTCGACAAAATCCCTCGGGCGCAGACCAGTCAAAGGAAAGGGGAGCATCAGCAGGCCTGGCGGTGCCGGCCGATCTTGCGCGGGGGTGGTGCCGCCGGTCGAACGAGCCGCAAAGGGTCGGCGAGGCGGGCAGGGTGCAGGTCAGGAAGCTACGCTTGTGGAGTGGGGCCACCTGTTGTTGTTGTTGTTGATGTTGTTGTTGTTGTTTGCAGCACCCAGCGGAAAATGCGGAGGAGGAAACGAGCAACAAACTATTAGGACTCAGGACCTTTGAACCTGTTACCGAGGATGCTCCTATAGAGCGGTCTACCTTGCGCTCGAAGTTGGGCAATCCTGTCGGTTCCTCTTGTATATGATTCAAGGTATGCCCTGTGCCTTCCGAGGCGCATCGTTTGTGTATATCTGTGCCATAGCATGGAGAGGTGCATCTGAAGGCTGCTTCTATGCACGCGGATGATGCACCAGGGTCAGTGGCGCGATTCATTCGGTGTACACGGCGCACGCTAACCGATAAAGTGGAGACGGGACAGACTCAGTTCCAATTCTTGGCCGCGTGCGTATCTTTACCATGTATTGATGCAGCAACAAAGGCAAAAGTAGTTAGTTGTGTCATGGAATTTTCACTGACCAACGGGCTGACTCACAATGTCGCGTAAAACCACCAAGTAATGCAAAGCAGGGTCAAACATATATGGCCTGGACAACGATATGTCCACTGCGGTAGCTTTTTGAACCTCCGCTGTAGCATGCCACACTGCATGGTGCCCACACGGCCGAACTACTGTACGGTTGCGAACAAAATCATGTACATTGTCGTGTGTGCGGGCCTTCTCTTTAGAGGCGAAGAGCACGCGCCCCACGAGTGACTGGAATCAACGATACTTGTAGTGGAAGGACGTGTGTTGAATAGAGCACGCGGATCCCCTCTCACCCGGCCTGATATAGGTGTGTCGATACGAGGCTCCTGACACCGACCCCGAATCGAAGACACCGGAGGGCTCCCGGTGGAAGAAGTCGCTTGGAGCGCCGCTACCTGCGAAAGTGGCCTCTTTACCCTCCCGGGTTGCACTAGCTTCTGGCGCTCTAATGCTGTCGGAGCCTTAGTGGCACCAGAGCGGTTCTCCAATGCAGACGTAGCTGCAGCCTTGGTTCTACGCGCAGGTTTGCGACCAGCTATGGCGGCAGCAGCAGCACGTGGTCTGCTGCGGCTCGAGGCGGAGAAAACTATGTCGTCAAGGCAGTGAGGAGTGATGTAGCTGTCCTGCAGAGGCGTCGCGGGCTGGCTGTACTTGAGGGTGGATGCCTGGGCCCACTTCCCCAGCTTCGGGTGATCCGGTGGGGCGATGTAGAAGTTTGTCGGGCTGTCGAAGCAGCTATCTGAGTAGGCCTTGACCAGACCGGGATTGGCACTCGCCGACCGCTTCGGGGGAGGGATGACGTCAGCAGAGCTTGCCCCCCGGCCTGATCGTCGTCGTACTTCCACTCTCATTGACTTTCCTCACACCACTACTGCTGCTAACACCGCGGCAGGAAAATGCCCTACTTTGAACGTGTTAAAGAAAGAGACGGGTTTGTACATGATGAGTGGAGAGGTTTTGTAATCATGTTCGTCGTCGGGGCCGCGGTTTCGTCGAAAAGACGGCTTAAAAAAAAAAACGCGAAAAGAAACATGCATCGTCGCCTCGACCCCCTCTCCGGCTTCTCTCCCCCCCCCTGCCTCTCGGAAGGATGAGTCTCGATGATGTAGTTAGATGTGTGAAATACACAGCGGTGCATGCAATGCGTTGCCGTGCACGCATGGGACATGCAGCGCAAGCACGCATGCACATGAAGAGAATATGAAACGGCTCGAGTGCGCATACATTTTTTTTTTAACCGTTCTCCGGAGATACCGCGTGCGTCCAAAGTCGCGATTGAAATCAGCTAACAACAACAATCCCAGCACACACACGCTCCCTTCAAGTGTGCTGTGGTATCGGGTGGGTCTCATCACGCATTCGAGATCCGCTTTAGGTGACCTTTTCGTTCTGTCTAACTCTAGAGCTCGCGTGCAGCTTTTCTGTCGCCATGTCGGGCAAGAGGGACAAAGCGTCCGCGGAGGATCTGCACGTCATGGACACGGTGGAGCAGTATGAAACATACGAAGATTACCTAGACTCTCAGGTAAGGAGCAGCATGTTTTCGTACGAGTAGGCGTGGAAAGAACGCGGTGTGGGTGCCATGCTTGCCCAGCGCAGTGAACCTAACACGGCAGCTCATCCTTGCAAAAACCTATTGAAAAACAGCTCCTTTACGTAGTATACCACCCCCCTTTGGGACAATTTTCCACAATCGATTCCTGCCTCATATGAATTGACATGTTTGTCTCGTCGGGCGTTATTGATTCTGGTCCGCATGATTTTCTCCATTATTAGAGGCCGTCGCAAGACGCAGCAGCATGTTATTCTGATATTCAAACGAGTATTCATGACCAAGGCCCATGTCGTGAACCGTTCTTGCTTCGGACAGGTCACCGAGACGGACATGTATTACCTGCAAGACGAGGATCTTGCGCGCCAGTTGGTTGAGCTTGGCTATCGCGGCTCAGGGGACACCCTGCAAAGGTGACTACACATGTAGGTCAAAATGTATCCTTACCACGCCGACGGAGCTTTTAGTGAATGGATTTTTCGCCGCGTTGATAGGCTCTAAAAAAGGATCTTGAAGTCGACTGAGGAGGTCAATTTGTGTTTCTCGCCCGTCCCTCCCCCCCATTGTAGGGATGCGACGCCAATGGCCCAACGACTACGGCATGCGTTTTCGTGACCCCCCCCCCCCCCCCCCAAAAACGGGGTCTTTTTGTTTTGGGGGGTCCCAAGTAAAAAAAAAAAAAGGAAAAGTGTTGTGGGTTTTAATTAACCGGGAAAAAAAATAAAAAGAAAAAGGCGGGGGAAGTTTTAGGGCAGGAAAAACCCGGGAAAAAAGGGAACGTTTCGGGGGCAAAACCAAGGGGGTGGGGAGGGGGGGGGGGAATTCCAACGGAAAAAAAAAAAAACAAAAGGGAAAAAATTTTT